GAAAGCTCCCTTATGAAGGATTACTTCGTTTCAAAAAAATCAAAACTAAATTAATTAATCACAAAATAGTTTCAAAAATTAATTAAATAGATAGACAAAAATTCAATTATGAACCACGTTCGATAATTAATCGCGACATGGAGGCTGATTATCGTCACTTCTCTCTTGGTCATCCTCCCGTTTATCTAAAAGGGGAAACCACCAGAGAGGGTCCTTAGCACGATGGCCAGTGATTCATGGTTCTTGGAAAAGCCTCTTCGATCGTCCTTCGTTTTAACCGAGAAGACGAGAAGTTGTTTCCTTCATTGAGTGTTACATTTTGCCTATTTTGAGTGGTTAACAACCCTTGTAAGTTATTAGTCGATTAACTGCTAAACATCAGTTAATCATTTTGCCAATTTTCGACTACATTTTTTTCGAACAGGAGATTCAACTACATATTCACATGATTATTATGTGAGATCCAATATCACAATTCACAATCATTTTACATACCAAACATTAAATAGAAATTCTGATCACATGTAAAATAAATGAGCTCTTGAAATTCATCGGATTTCAAATTCAAACTAAAACCAAAATAAATGTGAAGCAGAGACGGTGAGAAGGATTGGGGACAAGTAGGGTTCCACACAAAGGAATCTCACAAGTCAAAAAATATAGCAAGATCTGACATGATATCCCCAAAATTCAAACCAACTTTATTTTGCCCTTTGTTCGAGTTGGGAAGAAGAAAGAGGAGTCTACTTTCAGCGATTACTAACTTTATATATATGTAACGAAATCATAAGATTCCATGGATGATATTATTCTGCCTTTGGTAGGCTTTGACTTACTGCTCTAATTTCAATTACCATCCATCAGACAAAAAAATGTAGAAGACAGATCAAACTTTCATAAACATGATTTTCTTCTCCTGTTACACGGTTGGGATTATGTGATAGGAAAAAGTTTTTAAGAGAAAAAAAAAATCATCTAACCAATCAAAGTGTGATACCTATTAGCTTGTCACACTCTCTCTTCTCCATATTTCCCCCTCATATTAGTACTGATGATATGTATATTTATACGACTCATGTTTGATTTTTTTGGTTGAAAAATAATAAGTGATAAGTGTTTTGGTTGAGAAATAGTTTCTATGGTGTCAAAGGTAACAAAAAAATCCTTAATAAGAATGAGTATAACTCTTAATCTCCATGTCCTAATTCAATAAGTACAATTTTTTTTTGGTGTATTACATTCTGTTCAGATAAAATCTCAAAAAATAATCCAAATCAAAGATTGAGACCCCGAATGTTTAGAGTTAGTAATTAGATAATTTCACTCCATTACCTTGAATTACATGTTGAGCTTCATTGCTATAAAATTTATCGCTCGTTTTGTCATAAGTATATATTCAAATTCAATTAGACTGCTACTTCATTTCCCTGACTCAATGCACATCTACAAGAGCTCTTTCTTCATATAGTTTAAATGAAATTTTATTTCTTCATCTTAAAGTTTCAGTTTCATACTTAGTCTTGGCTCCAAAAATTTTACTAAGTTGTCAATTCATAATAAATTTTTCATCACTTAAATGAAGAAATGGTGGTAACTAAATAATTTCTCATGTGTGAATGATTGATTTGAGAAAAGAAAAAAGGACTATCCAACCAATTGGCCGGACCACAATCTAGTTGACTAGAAAAGAAAGAAAATTGAAGGAACAAACTCAAAAAGTGAGGAAGTTTTCCCCTCATGTGCATATGATAGACAAAGAAGCTACTATATAGTTAATGAAGTATAATATCTTCAACCTAATCACTTACAAGATTTGTGCGAACTGTGAACAAATAAATCATGTGCAAATAAGGTTTGATAATAATTCTTTGCCAAGCGATGCAACCAGAAACATCATTCTCATCCCAAAAGTTAAAGAGGTTTAAATAATATCCTTAAAACATCAAATATAATCCCAATGCGAGAATGATAATAAATATTTACTGTGTATCTAGGTCCATACCTGTCAACTATTATTTTTAGCATGCACAACCATACAAATAAACGAAGTAATAAAAGTTGTCAAGTCTTATTATAGAGAAATACCAATACAAGCGAGAGTGAGTAACATCATATATTCACATAACATGGTTGCGATGATATGTTCGTAGATATTGATTCTTACTGTCGATTAAGTTGTGAGTTCAAATGGCATATTCGAGTAGCAATGTGTGAGAGAGAGAGAGAGCAACATCACACACAAACAGGGTACCCCAGAGAGAGAAGGTATTAAATGCCCCTGTTTCTCAACAACCCTGCACCAATCTGTGGCTAATCTCCTTCACAAACAGAGCATCAAAGGGTGGAGTTTAATGGATTGGATCAACAGATATAGATATATAAGCTCGCTAGCCAGCCATTGGAGAATGGAGAGAGCCAGCCAGATCAGGAGATCGATTATTATCATCATATACATTGGAGGCAGGCAGCTGTGTGAGAACAGAAGTGACCACACAAACATCCAGACTAAAACTGTCTCCTTACCTAGCTAATAATGCATCCACCAATTAAATAATTAATTAATTGTGTATGTATCTATGTGTATTGGGGTCACGTACATTGCCAACCTCTGATTACAGTTACAGCCTTTGTCGTCTCTGCGTAATCGTATTATGATCTATCTGTATGCATGCGCTCTGTAGCCCTAACTCCCCTGCATCTCTTGAGCCTACATATATCTGTCGCCTCTCAAGTTCAACCACCTCTCGTACGACCAATTTGTACTATATTATAATAGTATTATTAACGATATTAATCATACTGGTGTATATTGTTTGTTTGGATGAATATATATATATATATATAGCTCCTACACACAAATAATGAAAACCATCTGTCAATTTGAATGACAATTCGTCTATATGTGTTAATTCTGTCATTTGTTCAACCGCATTCGAGCTGGCTCGCCTAGTCGATCAAACCAGTATCTCATCGCTAGTACTTCTGCGAAACTGTGTTGAGTTTTCTTGGACCACTTTATTGAAATCATACACTTCTTAGAAAGCATCGATACTCTCTAAACTATAGGTTTATGGGGGCGGATAAGCTATATATCGTTTAATTACGTAAATCGTTATGTTGATTTCTTCTCGCATTCTCATCATTTTACATAGCATCGGGACATGAGTACTACTTTCGACCTGTCCCCCCCCCCATCCCGCTCTGTTCTTGACCCGATCCTACCTTGATTTCTCTCAATATTTCTCCTATTTTGACTTATCGTAACTCATATTTTTACCCAATGATACTTTAGATATGTGTAAGACTTTGTCTTTCAACTAATCAGACTCCATTAGTTTACCTATTATCTCCCCCCCTTCATTTACGTACTAGTTTTATTTTATTTTATCACTAAAAATAAACATTTTCTTCAAATAGTATGTAAGAATGAGTTGCATGTCTCGGCCCGTCCAGTGCGAGTATTATCTGACCTGACTCGCACTTGCTACGGAATGAGCATGCGTATTGAGGTACCCGCCCGTCCCATTGTCATCACTAAGTGAAATTCTCATTATTATGCTCGTCATCTCATCATGTCATACATGCTCTCCAATGACGATGATGATTTCGTTAAGAAGAAGAGTTGTGTTGTTAAAGGTGTTCAAGTTGTTACCGTGACTATTAGCTGATCATTTAAGTATAAATTCTATCAACTATGGAATAAATATCACACCAACCAAATTAAACAAACTAAAACAAACTTGGTTAATTGGCCTAACCAATATAAACATTACATTACACGAAAAAAAAACTATCCTCTTAATGCACCAATCCATAATATGAGGAAGAACTAATACTCTCATTACATAAATAAACCCCATAAAATAAAATGAAGAATTAACTAGTGCACTTATCATAGGACTCCACTAATATAGATTGTGGGTCTGACCAGCTCGTCTGTCTTTCGTAATAAGAGGTTAATCATAGGTAACACTCAGGTGTTCAAATACCATACATGATAATTATCAAATCAAATAAGCCTAAATTTTATTAACTTTAAAATACAATATAAAAAACAAACCGTTCAAACTAATATAACAACCAAATTAACCAAATTATAGTTAATTGGTTTGGTTAATTGGTTAACCAATATACCATCATCACATCATCATTAAGTGAGAAAAATTTCTTGTTAGTGCATCAATTGGCAATTTATATATTGAATCACACATAAAATTAATACATAATTATAGTTAACCCTTAACATAAATATATGTAACTAATACAATTATCTTACATTTGACTATTAAGTGGTTATGCAAAGTATTAAGTATGTGTGTATAATATATTAGATATATGACTAATTACTAAACTAGTTAATTTGGTTTGATCAGTTAGGAGTGTCTGAAACCAAACCAAACCAGCTAAACCAAACAAGCTACAAAATTTAACCAGACCAAACCAAATATCCAAATTAACCAAACCAAATTATCCAAATGCTATTGGTTAAAACGATTACCACGATAACCACTTCGTTTGAACACTCTAGTCACACTGGAGAAGTTATAGGAAGTTGCCTTGTTCGGCATTGATTGTGATCGTAAGGAATTTGATTTGGGCTAGCCAAAAATATATTGAGAAGGTGATCCATTAATTTTTAGTTGAGACATATGATATCAAACAAAACAATACAATATATGTATTGGTTAATCGGTTTGACTGGTTAACAGAGTATTTAACCATGTCAATCCAATTAAATCAAATTAGCTGATAATTTTAACCAAATAAAATTAACCATATATACAAATTAACTAAAATGCTACTGATTAAAAGATTACCATGATTTTCCATCCCTTTGAACATCCCGACACCGTAGTTAGTTGCAGAACAACTTTTCCTAAGTGCTCCAAACTTAAAAAAAAGTCCCTAAATAGGGCCAAGCCCAGAAACGAGAACAAGATCACCTGAGAGACACCCAAGATAAAACGGGCTCATAGTGTAGCGACGGGCCCAGCCTCCCCCGGGCCTGCCGTTGGTTCGACGACCGTTCTTCTCTCCCAGCTTCCGCGTCGGCCAGCGATTCCTCAACATTTCCCTCCACCGCGTTGAAGCGAGTTTGGCTGGCTGGCGGATTCCACGACTGCTTTCTTTTAACAACTAGTAGTTCGTTTACCCAATCCCTTCATCCAAACATCGAATCTCTCATCTCCAATCCGATACCGATCTCTCCTCCGCACGCGTAAATTCCAATCCCCATTGATCGCTAGCTCTTCACACGCCGATTCCATTCATAGGCGTTGCTTCCGCCGCCGGGTTCCTCTTCACAGCGTCGCCATGAGTTTCATCTTCGGCAAGCGAAAAACTCCCGCAGGTGATTGCTTCTCCAATCGATATCCTGAGTTGGGTCGGTGTTAATTTAGGGGTAGTTTTGTATCTAGCATTCTCAGATACATGCTTTGGTTAGAGAATTCAGATGGCTTGTTTGAGGTTTATGGTCAGTGGAGCTGGATGACGATGGAGGCAGGGTTTTATTTATGTTGTATCTCCAATTTATGGCTTTTTGTGGTGGTGGTGGTGGTGTTAGAGCTTCTGCGAGAGAACAAGCGGATGCTGGACAAGTCGATTCGGGAGATTGAGAGGGAAAGGCAAGGTCTACAAACCCAAGAAAAGAAACTGATTGCAGAGATCAAGAAAAACGCCAAGCAGGGGCAAATGGTGCGGAATCAAATCCTCCTCCCTTCTCTAGTTTCAAATTGCTATCTTCATAAGTGTTAGCTAACCCTAGATCCCAACTGCTGTTTGCTGTGACTATACATTCTCAGGGTGAAGTGTTTGTTCAAATGATATATCGACCCCACCCCTTGAATTTGTTTCGTTTCTTCCTTGTTTGACTCAATTGAAGAATTGTTTCAGGGTGCTGTCAAAATAATGGCCAAGGACCTTATTCGTACGAGACATCAGATCGAAAAGTTCTATAAGCTCAAGTCACAGCTCCAGGGTGTATCTCTTAGAATTCAGGTGCGTTCGATCATGGGCCTTAACCATCTCTATTGTTTCTTTTGTTCTGTGGCTTGCATAATGAATGTCCGTTATGGAGCTTCTTGGCTTGCTGCATATGTAATATGCTGGTGTCACTGACATATATGATTTAAGTCAAATGCTCAGGGAATTTGAAATCGGAGGATTGTGGTTATACACATGAATCAAAACGCTTCATTTGTTTTTTTGACATGGATACCTTGAATTGAATTTCGATGCATAATACTATAGAAGGAAACAGCAGCAAGCCACCGCCTGTGCTACTCAATTTATTAGTAATTGTGTCATTGGCATTTACGGGTGAAAGGGACCTTCGATGTGCTAAATGCTTCTGTATAGTTAATGGGCTTGTACTAGCTGCTAATGCTACCAAAACAAATATCTGTAAATGTGATTTGATATGAAACCCTGATGTGTTTGAGTTGAATAGCAACCCTGATGTGCCTGAGTTGGTATATCAACGGCATTTTGATCCTGATTGTACCTTCTTGCCTTGAATTTTCACACTGTTAATGCCACCATCTCAGGACTTTAGGATTTCTATACTTATTAAATTACTGAAAGCAAATGAAAGACCACGAGGATACATTAGAGGACATAAACAGATCTGAACTTCTTGCTAAAGGAAAACGGACCTAGAGAAGGTAAACCAGCAGAAGACATTAATGTAGCATGAACAGGAAGCCTCAAGTAATTGTTTTTAGAAACAGAAACGTATGTGAACATATGGCCATAACAAGTGGTTTATCTTTGAAATGATGCAGACGTTGAAATCAACACAAGCTATGGGAGAAGCCATGAAAGGCGTGACAAAGGCTATGGGCCAGATGAATAAGCAGATGAACTTGCCAGCCCTACAAAAAATTATGATGGAATTCGAGAAACAGAACGAGAGGATGGAGATGGTGAGCGAGGTAATGGGAGATGCAATGGACGACGCATTGGGAGACGACGACGAGGAAGAGGAAACAGAAGAGCTAGTGAGCCAGGTTCTTGATGAGATCGGGATCAACGTCAATCAGGAGGTAAAAAATGCGTGTCTTGGGCGTTTCCTTATAACTCACAGCTTTAGCCTTTTTGGGATGAGTTCAATCATCAGAACACATACTGACAATTTGTTTGTTTTGTGTTGGCTTTACGTATTCAGCTGGTGAATGCTCCGTCTTCGGCTGTAGCTGCACCAGCAGCAAAGGGTAAGGTTGCACAGGTAGAATCAGCAGCAGAGGGTGAAGACAGTGGGATAGATAGTGACCTACAGGCTAGGTTAGACAACTTAAGGAAGATGTAAAACCTTTTTGTTTTTCCTTGTAATATATCGATTATAGCTTCTGTGCGACGATCGCTTTAGTTCAATTCGGGGCCTGTAATATAAGCATCATATACCTCTAGCATCATCACATCACGTTTCAGAAGCAAACATTCACTTTCAAACCCTTAAGTCATGGCCTTGTCTAACACAAACATCCTCGTATTATTGTTTCAACTCACGTCAGCTGATTTTCCAAGTTGGTACTATGTATAAGCGTTGATCTAGTCATCAGTGGATTACTTACATGGCATCTACTGGTCTGGTTGTTTCATTCTTGCAAATTTGATGGTTCATAGCATAGCATTGAGACCTCTTCGAATGGGAGCTTAAATTTCGAGGAGAATGTATCCAAAGTATTCATAGCATAGCATCATAATTAGTCGAAAGCTACAAAGTTTATGGTGGTGAAACTATGATTTAAGTGAAGTAAGAAGAGGGGAATGTGAGTTAGACCTACAAATGATGACTAGATCCGAAGGTGCCCGATAAATCAAGATTTGGCTGAAGTTTTCATAATCGAAAATGAAAAAAAACCCTCATAAATCGATATGATGTTAAATTTTTTTTTTCCAATGATTTGAGAAATAAGTTTTGGAATGTAGGGATAGACAACTATCATGCAGTATTATTACTCTGCGATGTTTTTTTCCCCAACGATTTGTGCAAATTTGTATTTCCTTTTATTATTAATCAGCATAAAAGGGTCACAAATCTTTACAATAGTATAAAATGGTCACAAATCTTTAATTTGTAACGATACGGTAACAAAAGTTTGAAATTGTTTGAAATGATCACTTTTCTTTTATTTAATTTGTGACCGTTTTGTAATAAGTGCAAAGATTTGTTACCGATGAAACTATAGCTCTCTTCCTACAACCCCCTTCCCCACATTCCACAAGAATTTATTGCAGTCTCCTCAATTAACTTCAACACCTTCATTGGCAAAAGAACAATTGTTATCCAATACTGAAAAGCATTCGTAGTAACAACTGAGATCAACTGCAAACGCCCCACATAAGTAAGATAACGAGATTGTCAGCTTCTAACACGAACATTGATCATGTCCCCTAAAACCTAAGACTTTTTTAAGCTCAATTTTCCAGTAATTAAAGGAACTCCCATGTACTTTACCGGCAGAGAATCCAAAGGGAAGCCAGTTGTTCTCGAAAAGAAAACTTACTTGATAATGTTTAATCATATATTTTTTCTAAACAAACACGATATATGACACTTTCCAAACATTAGTCTATTGTTGCTACACATATATACAAAGAAAAAAAAATCGATAAAAGTAATAAATAAAATATTAAAAGAAGAGAAATAGTTACATAAATAGATTATTATCTAAACCTTTTTGTTTGAAAAAAATCCACCTTGAAAATTTGAAAATTCCCCAAGTACTTATGCGAAAACAAATTACTTTGGAAATACCATATAACAGTAAGTAAGATTGATATAGCTGAAAATAATAAATCCTTATAATTGGTGGGAAGTGGGAACCAAGGACAAGTTCATGGAGTACCTGCATTTTAAGTAGCGCAAAGTTCGTACAAATTTTGTATATTTGACTAGTATTGTTGTGCAAAGTGTAAACTCAAAGCCCATTAACTAGTGACCCAGATGTGGAGGCATCAGGCAACGCCGCGTGCCTCGATTCCCATCCTTCTCTATTATCTTTTTTCATGCTTTTTTCTTTCTTTTATTGTCTGCTGGTTTAAAAGCAACCAGGGGAAGCACTTATGGGAAATCACTTTCTGCTTCTCTCAATCCTCTTTGTTTTTCTTCTCCGTGTACTCGCTAAAGTCTATTGAATGCAGAACCAAGGAGGTCAAGAAGATGCTGCTCAACCTCCAATAATCTTTCCTTGCAGCAACCGCCCGAAAAGGTTCAACACACTCGGACATATCGTCAGCAAGGTTATCGTAATATTTGCACCACCTGCTAACATAGATTCAAGTCCGAAAATCTCTTTGTCATTCACAAGGTGGAGTTTCAACACTAGTTTTTCAACGAGTAGTTCAAATTTCAATAGAAAAATTAAAATACAAGATGTTCAAGTGTTAAAATACGAGATGTTCTCGTCTGACGTACGCTATACGTCTATGTCCTCTTTAACACATGAACCTAATAGGTACAGGTGTGCAATGGTTTTGTACGCAGTATCAGAATAAATTGATCTTTAGATAAGATCATTGAATCAAATATAATATGTTCCTATCTTTGATTTCGTTAGTTTTTGTAAATACTAAAGAAAAATAGATCAAAATTATATTTAGAGATATTTCAGATGGATTATTCTCAAAATGAGACAATTGGATGAAGAATTTTTTTTCAAAATGTATCGTTTGGATGGGACTGTGAGATAGGTAATGTGGGTGAGTCAAGGGACGTAAGTGGAACCGAAAAAATCATCCGGCTAAAGCTATCGCGTTTATTTCGACCGTAATAGGGCAAGTGAATGATGTCTCTCGTGGAGGGACGATAAAAGAAAATGCGGCCCACTCCGGAGAAAAGCAGCCATCCATACTGGGAGCATGAAATACATGCATTAGAAACTTCATCAGGTGCGCGCAGATAATACGTTTTGGAATATGAAGGGGAGTAGGCTCGATAGCAGTTCAAGAGAGCGGATGAATCAGTTCCAGTGGTCTTGGAATAATGCAGCAGGAAAGGATACTTGATATTTGTTAGAAACAAAGAAGTTCCACAAGGGAATTAGGGATTGAGAAGAGAAGAAATTAGGGATTTGAGAAGAATTGGGGAAGAACAAGAGAGAGAGAGAATTGGGAATTAGGGATTTTGATTGATAATATTGATAATTGACTACCCTGCAGAATAGTGTTCTCTCCTCTTAAATACAAAAGCTGAATAATGAAAATAACGAAACTGCCACTCCCTCACCCAACCGGCCCAACCCGCCGGTTTCTAACATCCTCCCCCTCTTCAAGTCTGACCTTGTCCTCAAGGTCAAAGTACGGAAACTTCTGCTGCAAGTCGCCCGACTCCTCCCAAGTCGCGTCCTCCGGCTCCAAATGCCTCCAAAGCACTAAGCTCTCCTCCACCAGTCGGCCCTTCTTCTTCACCCATCTGGTCTCGAGCACCTTCAGCGGCTCCAGCTCAAGATCACCATCTGCACTGACTGGCGGAGCTGTCGTCTCAACTCTGTCTGCTGCTCCCCTGTAACGTTTCAACAATGAAACATGGAAGGTAGGATGAATGCGAGACTCTGCCGGCAGCTGCAAACGATAGGCCACTGGGTTAACCTTCTGCAGAATCTCGTAGGGCCCGAAATAACGAGCCGCCAGCTTCTGGTAGGCGCGCCTGAAGACCGAGGCCTGCCGATAGGGATGCAGTCTCAACAGCACCCAGTCACCCACCTCGAACTCCTCCTCCCGCCTACCCGCATCCTCTAACTGCTTCATCCTGTTGTTGGCGGCCGCCAACGTACTCCGCAGCTGCTCAAGTGCCTCATCCCTCGCCCCTAACCACCTGTCCACAGCATCCACTGAACTGTCACCCACCCTGTATCGAACCAGGGACGGCGGAGCTCGCCCGTATAGAGCCTCGAAGGGGGTCATCCGAATAGCCCTGTGATAGGTGGTGTTATACCACAACTCAGCCCATGGAAACATGGCCAACCAGCTCTTGGGTTGCTGGTGGGCAAAACACCTGAGATACTGCTCCAGATGTTTGTTCACGATCTCTGTCTGGCCATCCGTCTGCGGGTGATAGGCCGAACTCATCTTCAACGCCGTCTTGGCCATAGCAAAGACCTCCTGCCAGAAGTGACTCAAGAAGACTGAATCTCGATCACTCACAATAGATCGAGGAAACCCGTGATGCCGCACCACCCCTGATACAAACTGCTCAGCCACTGCCTTTGCCGTGTACGGGTGAGCCAAAGGCATGAAGTGAGCATACTTCGTCAGACGGTCCACCACCACGAACAACACCGTCTTGCCACCTGAGGGGGGGAGCCCCACTATAAAATCCATGCTGACGTCTTCCCAAACCCGCTCCGGCACCGGTAGTGGCTGCAACAACCCTGCAGGTCGGAGGTGAGATAACTTCACCCTCTGACAGGTGTCACAGGATGCTACGTAGCTCTTCACGTCGTCCGCCATGCGAGGCCAGTAGAAATGGGCCCGAATCCGCCGTAGAGTCCGCTCCACGCCCGAATGACCCCCCAGCGGCGAGTCATGGAACTCCATCAGCACAGTCGTGACCAGGTTTGACCCCGGCGGAAGGACCACCCGGCCCTTGAAAAGGACCAGCCCCTGTCTGAACTGGTAGCGACCCGGCTCGTCGCTCACAGCAATGTCCCGGCAACTCTGCAGATAGGAACTGGTCTCCAATGATGCACGAAGCTCATCCCAAAACTCCGGCACCGGCCCGGTCACCGCCGTGAGAACCTCTCCACCCGGACGCCTGGATAGGCCGTCGGCCACCACATTGGTGGGTCCCGGTCTGTAATGAATCTCGTAGTCATACCCCAGTAGCTTCGAAATCCACTTATGCTGGTCCGGTGTCGACACCCTCTGCTCTAGGAGATGCTTCAGACTCTGATGATCTGTATAGATGTGAAACTTCTGGCCCAGCAAATATGGTCTCCACATCTGTACTGCTGTGATGATAGCCTGCATCTCCTTCTGATATGTCGACCAGGCCTCCTTCGAAGGAGGTAGTGTCTTGCTCATGAAAGCAATGGGATGTCGATCCTGAGACAAAACTGCCCCAATACCGCGGCCTGACGCATCGGCCTCAATCACGAACGTCTTCGAGAAATCCGGCATGGCCAGGGTGGGGGTTGTGGTCATCGCCTGCTTCAGCTTCTGGAACGCCTCCTCCGCCTGCGGTGACCAACCGAACCCCCCTTTCTTCAGCAAGTCCGTCAGAGGTCTCGCGATCATACTGTATCCCTGCACAAACTTCCGGTAGTACCCAGTCAATCCCAGGAAGCCGCGCAACTCGGTCACATTGGTGGGCACGGGCCAGTCCACCATGGCTCGAATCTTGGCCTGGTCCACCTGTACTCCCTGAGGCGTCACCACATGACCCAGGTAATCCACCTTCTGCACCCCAAACTCACACTTGGAGGCCTTGACATAGTACTGGTGCCTCCGAAGAATCTCAAACACCTCCTGCAAATGTCTCAAATGGTCCTCCCAAGTAGGACTATAAACCAGGATATCATCAAAAAATACCAAGACATACCGTCTCAGGAGAGGCCGAAAAATGTCGTTCATGGCA